GGTGATTGGAGGCAATGTGTACAAACACAAGGACATTCACAAAGCAACATGGATTTCACCAGATGGACACACTAAAATCAGATCGACTTCATCTCAATGTGAAGAAAGTGGAGACGCAGCCTACTAGACACAAGATCAGATCAAGAAGAGGAGCAGATGTATGTGGTTCACACCACTCACTATCTAGTGCAAGGAACCTACATTCCAAATCAAGTTGGAAGTCTTCAAAAAAGAGGCTGGCAACAGACCACAGTTCAAGTTCAACATCCGGAACTGAAACTGAACTGAAGGACGGAACTACAAAGGACATCTTCATGTCAGTCAGCCATCAGGAAAAAATGGGAGACACTAACCAACATCCCCGAGGAAACCTGCGTCGAAGAACACTGCAACTCTTTGAAAGAGACGTGGAAAGAAACCTGCATAACCGTATTAGAAAGGAAGAAGAAGAGGCAAGACAAGGAATGGAGCTATACAGATCTCCACATGGAAGCTGATAGAGCAGGGAGAGGAAGATGGTGAAGCAGATGAACCAGTGCAAGGATGCACAACGAAAAGAACTGAGTACAACCTCCGAAAAAAACTGGACAAAGAAGTGAAGAAGAGTGCACGCAAAGACAAAAGACACTTCTACGAAACACTGGCAAGTGAAGCAGAACAGGCTGCTGGTAGGAGAGACCCGACAACATTATATCAACTAACCAGCTTCCTATCTGGGATGGAAGAGATCAACTCAATTGAAACCAATGAGAGATAGTGAAGGAAACCTAGTCACCAAAGTGGAGCAACAAAAGAAACGATGGGCTAACCACTTCAAAAAGCTCTTGAATCGACCACCACCTGCAAATCGTACAGAAATACCACCAGCAACAGCAGAACTACCAGTGAACACTGGCCATCCGACAAAAGCAGAAGTCCTGAATGTCATGAAGTTGCTGAAATCCGGGAAAGCAGCAGGACCGGATGTAATTCCTCCAGGAGCACTGAAAACGGACGCAGAGACAACAGCGGACATGCTCACACCACTATTGCGAAAGGTTTAGAAGGAAGGAAAGGTACCAGCCAATTGATAGGAAGAAGGGCTACCTTGTCAAACTCCCTGAGAAGGGTGACCTAGGTGTTTGCAGGAACTGGTGAGGAATCATGCTCCACCCCAAACAAAATATTATGGCGCATCATCCTAGAGAGACTAAACGATGCTCCGGATTCAAAATTACGACCGGAACAGGCTGGCTGACTGGCTTCAGGAAGAACAAATCATGTGTGGATCAAATTGCAACACTACGCATCATCATTGAACAGACTATAGAATGGCAGTCAACTCTCAACCTCATCGATTTCGAAAAGGCCTTCGACAGCGTCAACCGAGAAGTAATTTGGCAGGCAACTGCTTCAACACTACGGAGTACCAAAAATCTTTATCAACCGCGTTCAATAGCTATATGACGACACCACATGCCAAGTGATTCACAATGGAAAGCTCAGTGACGCCTTTGAACTGAAGACAGGAGTTAAACAAGGCTGTCTACTATCACCGATGATCTTCCTGATTGTGGTCGACTGGATCATGCAACAAACCGTGAGGAGCTGTGAGAAGATGGGCATACGCTGCCTGGACCGATGGAAAGACTCCAGAAGAAGATTTGGATTTTCCCGGTGATTTATGAGTAATGTCGCACAAACTCGAAGATCTTCAGGCGAAAACCAACAAGTTGACAGAAGAGGCAGGGCAGCGAAAACGGGACTTCAGGTGGATGTAGAGAAGGCGGAGGTGATCAAGATACTCAACCGACAACAGCATCAACAACAAGCACCAATCACTATTAACGGGAGAAACCTAAAGGAAGTAGCCTCTTTCACTTACCTGCCCAGGCAACATCGTTTAGACTACAGGTGGTGGCACAGATGAGGGCATCAAAGCCAGGATCGGAAAGACACCAAGACAGACATTCATTAACCTGAAATCAGAGTGGAGACCTACCGCACTCAGCACAAAGAACAATATCCAGATTTTCAACACTAAGTCAGTCCTGCTATATGGTTCGGGAACTTGGCGCGTCACGAAAAGCACTTCCAACAAACTGCAGACATTCATCAACAGCTGCCGCCTACGCTCACTCGATACTGAAGATCAGATGGCCACACAGAGTAAGAACAAGCAACAAGGAACTCTGGGAACGAACCAACCAAGAACCTATCACCCAGCAAGTATTCAGAAGAAAGTGGAGATGGATCGGGAATTTACTGAGAAGGTCGACTGGGGAAATCACGTGCCGGGCCCTCAGGTGGAATCCAAAGGAGAAACGACGATTTGGGCATCCGAAGCGATGATGACATGGAGATCATGTGAGGAAGAAATGAAAGCTTGTGAGCAGTTGTGGAGCGAGGTCCAAAAGACTGGAGAGAAGAGAGTGCAATGGAGGCGTGTTACTGAAGCCCTATGTTTTACTAGGAACCCAATCGGAAAAAAACAATAATAATAATAATACATACATACATTACTGTTTTAAGACTGGTCTGTTCTGATGGTTTGTCTGAGAATAGGGACTAGGGTTGTTGTGTTGATCCCTCACCTCAGAAGTCAAATGATGACTACAGAAGTCGCGATGCAGATTTGAAAGGTTCAACTGAGTACTCAAGATACTTATTGTATGCATATTTATTAATATAAGACGAACTCAATAGAGCATGAGTACTAAATAAGAGCCACAGTATTCCTTCGGCTAAACTCACTACACACCAATGAGCTGATTGTTAGTTGTAATGAGGTAGTTGCATCCTGACTTTTTTGATAGAATTTTAGCATTATCACATCATCTTATTCAATTTTCTTTTTCGTCTTTTAACTGTGTTACCTAATCCTTGCCAAAGAAGTACCAGCTAGTGATCGCGTGTGGTAAGCGTGTTCCTACAAGTGAGTGGGTTGTGGGTGTTTACCATGTCGAATAAGACTGACTGCTCACCAAAATTTGAGACCGATTCCATACCAGTGACACAGCTAGACTCCAAGATCTTGAGCGAAGTGGCGTACCAACTCATTTACTGTCTCCGAAGCAGGAGACAACCATCGTTTTGCATTTCGGACAAAACGTTATCTAAAATTACGGGGAGAGGGTCCACTCAAACAAATAAATATTTACCTTTGGACACTTGGGTAACAATTAGTATTTTACGATGACTGTGTAAGTCAATTCAAGGCAGAGATTTTTTATTGTAATCAAAGATTGGAATCAGCGCACCTTATGATTTATTATTGTGACTCATCGGTCCACGCAGTCAAATTCAACCCAGTAGGCTACAAGTCCGAACTGGCTCGACCTACCCAGGAGTTCACATGACAAGAGTCGTTTAATGCTTGGTGCATATGAATGCATACGGTCCCCCAGTTTACTTAAAAATAATTTAGTCTTTTGTAAAACATCTTGAGGTGAAACGCAACTACCTTCCACCACCGAAATAGAAATCCATCAATTTTCACCTTTATTATAAACGAAAAGCGTGGTAGCCCAGAAAAAGTGGTTGACATCGAAAAGGTACAAAGTAGATCCTATCATGAGACAAACGCTACACAACCCAGAGTTTATAATTTAACAATTGGTGCCTACTGAAAATGAACCTTGTACCAATGAAGCAACGAAGACTTTCAAGAATATCAAACAAATTTTCGGGTGGGCTGCGCTGAACCATCTTATTTTCTTTTTTGGAAGACTAGGAGAATACGTCACGTCTAAGAAAGTAATAGAAACTCTGACCTAACCACTTTTCACATCGTAGAATGTCAAATTAAACGATCTTTAACTATCTATGAGAAGGCGAGATATCATATTGTCATTCGCTGAGAAAGTTGAAAAATCCTTCGTTATCCCATGCCAAAGGGAAAAAATCCAACTAAAAAGGATACCCAGAAATCCTTTAGCAGAGGTTGAATGTAACACTAAAATTTGAATGTCAACGGGATTTCTCCTATTATCTTGAACAAATCTGCAGTCTCAATCACCATGCAATATGAAACTAGTTTCAACTAAACTTTGGTGAAAGTAAATTCTAAGGATGACCAATCAGGTTGGAGATGCTGTGTTAGAAGGGGACGAATAACATCAAGGACACTAATTTTCCGGCATATGTACGAAGAATATATGTCTATTCTGACAATTTTTCCGGTAGAAATATCGCAGGACTTGTTTAGTCTTAGATATTTAGATATAAGACGAAAAACTCCCGAAGAGTCAAACGGTTACCTCTACGAATATCCACTGTTGTATAGTGTGTTCGTACATATATAAGAAATAGACGTTAGGGTTTAAAAAGCAGACGTTTATGTCTATGACTTTTAAGGTCCTAGACTTCAGAAGTAGACGAAGCGGGAAAAAGTTGGCAGATGTTCTCTTGGTTAACGCACGAACTCAGTACGCTTATCTGTTTGAAGTAAAAAGCTACGTTGAAGAGGACGAGAATTTAGGCCACATTCCACTAACCTTGTACACAACCTTACACTATCATAATTCACGGTGAGTTATTTCTTCCTGAAGAAGAAACTAACTGGTCACTGTTTCGTCCTTGCATATGATACACTTCAAAAGAAGGTTAGGATAATTCACTTATTATATTGTTGACTCTCAAAGTAGCAAGGAAAATAAATTATTTTCTATCCTTAAAGATGACGTTTTGTTTTAGTGTTCACGTGACAGATTAAGCCGGAACTTCACTAGTCAACCGGGTACCCGTTCGACTCATGAAGTCCTAGCTTGATGTGAACGTACTTAGAAGTCACCTAAGTAAAACTGAACCAAAATCTGTCTGCTAAAAATGCAAGACCCTGATAAACTATCTATCGTTCTTAAAAGAGGACGGTAATATAATGAGAATTCCTTCAGTTTTAAAGGTTTCTATAAAAGCCCTAGATTTATCCTTTTGTTTGGAAACCCTTATCGGAAAGTTTTCGAAGAAATGGCTTTAGATATTGGAAACAAATATTTTAACTTGTAATACTTAGACCTTACCAGTCAGAAGAAATGCAAATGTGGGCCACAAAGACACCACGTCCCGGTGACACCAAAATTCTGCCTTTGAATGTTGACCTTTCAATTGCATTAGTCAAACCGTTCAAGGTTATTTGAGTCAAACCAACCTTCCAGTGGCTGGTTTTACTGATAAAAATAGTTGCAAGATCATTAGACATTAGTTTAAAAATTAATCTCAAATAATTATTTCTAGTAGTGTATTGTGGATGAAAACAAACACATGAAATTATTTGCCACTAATTCAGTTTAAAAGGTTTCATATGTTTGGTAGTGCATTGCAGAAATGTTCCAATGGGTAGACTCTGTGTTGAGGGCAGTGGATCAAAAGTTAATTTAGGAGGTAGCCTGTGTAAGAAACACAAATAATAAAAAAATGGTAGGTAAATATATTGTCCAAATTGATTGTGATTGAACTCACGCAAACATCGTAGGTGTGTGCCCAGTCAACGACTAATGAACTCATACGAGGTTGTTTGAACCACTTCTGCAGAGTATTTCTAGATGTGGCAGCTCAGACGCATTTGAAGTTCGCCCGAAGTCTAACGTAGTATGTTCGTTGCCTAGCTCCTGCGTGTGCCCTGTAAGGCGAGTGTGACAACTAGAATTTAATGAGTGACGAGGTGGGTTTCAAGAACGGTCATATGGTAATCAGCCTCTGTTTCAGAGGTCACAGACCGTGTGGTTGCAGTCGTTATCCACTTGTTCTAAGCCCAAGTTCATGAACAGATTTGGTGAACCCCTTCTTAGTATGTTATAGACCTTATTGGTCTCTTGGCTGTGGGGAAAGAAAGCTATCGTCCGAAGCCTTTGTAGGGACCTTGTGAAGATGTCGGTGATCTGCCGGAGACATCCTTGACTGGATTATCCTAAGTTGTGTCTTGAACTAACCACCATCATTCTGGTACTGAATGCGTTTCCGTCACAGTTAACAGAGGATTCAAGATTTCGGGGAAACAGAAAGCCAATGTCCGCTCCATCGTCCACGTGACTGAATGCTTATCACGGAGATAATATGCGTGGCAGGCACCGTGTTTCAGACACACCACATAGCAATTTACAAACCAAAATGCTAGTCCGTTGTGTTGAATATGCTTTGATTTGTTCTTATAATGTATTCAAAAACATTGACCACTCATTTTGTTTAACTTCGTTCAATTTGCTTGTACAACTATATTTAACCACTTGTTTCGATGAGTGTTACAACTGTATTCCGTTTCTGGATAGAAACTGCAGTGGCCGTTAAAATTGAAGAACAATTTTCGCAGGGTTCGCTTACTGTTTGAATATGCATTCGCTTTTTGGCAACAAACTGTTTTGGATTTGGTCGGTCCTTACTTTGGGCTTTGGGAACTCCAAAAATTCGTATCTCCGTTACGTGCTACTCAGCAGACTTGACGTAACATAAGTTCTTCAATTCGGCTCTGCTCATTTGGCTGAAGGTTTGGTTCGTTCCCATTTGGAAACAAGTTTCATCATTTGGAATATTCTGCCCCTTCCAATATGTCCTCGGATTGCGTTAGTCGATCTGCTAAACGGGTCCATAATTCTGGATCTAGACACAGGGGGAAAACTCCACCTTTGGACAATAATCTGGAATTTTCTAATGATTTGTATGATGGTAAAGGAGATAAAGTGAGTGTGGATGGTATTAGCATGCCTAATTCTACTAGTCATCAAGCACCTAAGCCTTTGTCGAAGGAGAAAAGGTTTGAAAGGGAGTTAAGATCAAACGTCGCATCGTCTGATGATACAGTAGGAGTTGAGGATATGACAAGCAGTCATTCTAGGTCTAAGAATGCTGTGGGATTACCCGAGCCCCGTGATGTACAATATAACTTTGTATCAGATTTGAGAAATTGTTTGTCCCCGATGGTAAACAGTATCTCTTTGTCGAGGATAGAACTGGTGCACCTTGATGGACAGCCAAGTCAGTACCAGTTGTCTATGAGTCAGTTCCGAAATATGATAGAGGCTAAACTTACTGACAAAGGTCAGATGCTGTCCTATCTCTTACACTTCTGTAAAGGGAAGGCAAGGGCAGTGACAGGGGCATGCAGTTCGCTGCCTGCTGACCTGGGATATGATAGATCTTAGGAAACCCTTCTTGACTTATTTGGACAGGAGCATATGACTGCTGGACCACTTATTGATGACTTAGTTAGAAATGGACAGCCAGTGGAGAGTACTGTCGAGGGTTTGGATGATTTCCCTGCGAGGCCTAGAAATGTACACATAGTGTTGTCGCAGACCGGTTATGTCGCGGATTTGAATTCGCCGGTCAACTTGGAGGCTATTGTTGATGGGTTACCAACGAATTTGCAAGGCAGATGGGCTGACGAAGCAGACAGGGTTTCCGTCACTGGGAGGGAACCCGAGTTTGAGGACTTGGTTAGCTTCATTGAGGGGGGAGCCAGAGTAGCTTGGCCGAGATATGGACTGTTAATGAGACGCAGTTTGGGAGACGATCAGGTGGAGGGCTGCGGCTCACATTTCAGAAGCAACTTGGTGGGAGGTGCTGTTCGTCCGACAAGCGATTGGGCTGCACGTAATACGAGTTGCATCTTATGTCATGAGCCTCACAATCTACCTGAATGCCCAAAACTTTTGAAAATGCTGACTGATGAAAGGAGATCAGTGGTCAAACAACTTGGTGTCTGCTACAATCGTTTAAAGAAGGGTCACATAGCTAAGTTTTGCAATTCCGAACTTAAATGCAGGCTTAAGGATCGCAAAGTGAACTATCACTCTTTGTTGCGTATGGCAGACACTGAATCCAAAGTAACTGGATCAATAACCCACTCGACGAAGGAAGTAGGATCCTTCAAAGTGAATCTGGGAATCGTCCCGGTGATACTAATGGGTCCAAAGGGGAGCACTGAAACTTATGCGTTACTGGATAATGGATCGGACACACCATTGATATTAGAAAATATTGTCAAGGCTCTTGGCCTTATTGGTAGGAAGCCCTCCCTGAGTGTGACCACGGCCACCGGGAATTACCAGTGCAGGTGCTTGGAAGTGAGTGTGGAGCCATGCTCGCTGGATGGACAGGGTTCAGTGAAGGTGCACAGGGCCTGCACTGTTAGTCACTTACCAGTGTCAGGTGCGCATACCCTGTCTGAATGGTAGGTTAAGGTCTGGAGGCATTTGAAAGGCATCAAACTACCCCGGCTACATAGCGATACCGTTGGAATCCTAATCGGATGTGATGTTCTGGATGCGCATTGGGCCCTGGAACAGCGTATTGGAAATAGAAATCAACCGTTTGGAGTAAAAACCCATTTGGGTTGGGTTGTGTCCGGTCCGAAGCAAGATAAATCCTCACGTAAAGTTGCCTTTTGCCAATGTTCGAATAACTGTAATGTGTCTGATAGTCTTGAAAGGTTTTATGATCATGAGTTCAAAGATATTAATAGCTCTGGCGCAGTGCTTTCAATGGAGGATAAAGGGGCAACGGAAATTACAGACCGGTCCTCCAGGTTAGTCGATGGGCATTTCGAGGTTGGGCTACCCTGGCGGTTTGATAAACCTGGTCTGCTTGACAATTATGAGGCGGCTAAATGTAGACTTGAGTGTTCAGGAAAAGTATTGGCAAAAAAATAGTGATCTACTCAAGAAGTATGAAGAAGTTAGCAGCCTTTCTGAGGTAGGCTTGAGGTTTGCTGCCGGGGTTATCGCTGATACAGGTCACGTGAAAGGACTATTCTTACAAGTCAAGATCCCGGAGTATGCCACATCGGCATTTTGTCTCTTGCCAGGGAAGTGCGGTAACATGGGTCCAAAGACTAATGAATGTCAGTTAACTGTTCATCAATTTGGTGTGATCTCATTGCCTTTCCGTGCGAGCTATGTGCTCAGGAAAACCACACGGACTTCCTGTGTCGGAGGGCGTAGCGCAACCAAAGAGGTTGGTGATGAAAGGCTCAATGAAGATTATTTATCTTCCACTGATGGCATCTCTGACACCATTCCCTTATTCCACCACTCACGGTATGTTTTTGATCGAGAGACTTCGCGCACAAACAAGGAGATCGACAGCTGTTTGCGGGTTGTACCGTTGATACCTAAAGAAGCCGGGGGTCAAACTTAATAGGGGCCGAGAATAAGCTGGATGAACACTTGGGAACGCATGATTCATACACTGAACTACCATCCATTGGTTCCACCTACATCTGGGGCTGGAGACCTGACAGCACTAACTTCAACAAGGTTGTTTCTGTTGAGAAACAACTTAGAAGGGTTTGAGGGCATATGCAGGAGTGATGGGTTTTCCAAGGGATGAAGACAAGTTAATTATCTTGTAGAAATAGTCTGGAAACGTCGGTCCAAAGAATCTGTTTCATTGTCACGACAACGACATAAGCGGACGAATTCTGAGGGAAACGTCCAAGTGGGTGACTCAGTCATGATAGTGTCGGACATCGGGGATAGGAATAAAGGGACCTTCGGACCAGTACAGCGAGTGGTGTGCAGTAAAGGTGGGTCAGCTAGAAAGGCAAGATTAAAAACGGTGAAAGAAAGGCACCTTAGAGACATTCGTAAGATTCTTCCTGGAGGAGTCGGATGAAAGGTAATCAGTAAGGAACCCCTAGGTGTACTGTTGTAAGCCCTGAGGGCCGTCGGGAAGGTTGGTGCAGGGGTTCCCAGGCGTACTGGTGTAGTCCCTGGGGACCGCTTAGGGATATACGCATGCTTGCGTCCGTCTGTCTGATGTTTTAAATGTTGTTGGATGCTAATGACTGCGAAAAGTAACTAAAGTTCCTTGGGGGAAGAGTGTTGAATGTGTTTTGATTTGTTCTTATAATGTTTTCAAAAACATTGACCACTCATTTTGTTTAACTTCGTTCAATTTGCTTGTACAACTATATTTAACCACTTGTTTCGATGAGTGTTACAACTGTATTCCGTTTCTGGATAGAAACTGCAGTGGCCGTTAAAATTGAAGAACAATTTTCGCAGGGTTCGCTTACTGTTTGAATATGCATTCGCTTTTTGGCAACAAACTGTTTTGGATTTGGTCGGTCCTTACTTTGGGCTTTGGGAACTCCAAAAATTCGTATCTCCGTTACGTGCTACTCA